AAAGCAGATCACCAAAACAAAGATGGATTATTCGACTTTCAGGAATATGAAAGGTTCATATAGTTGATCACTTCCTCAAGTGCGAAGTGAGAGTCGTACTTGATGGGATTAAATTCATTGATAATTTGCTATAATAAGGGCATAAGGTTATAAAGATAATTGTTACTATTAAATGTTATATTATTATTAAAATAGATTGATTTAAATAAACTGGAAATTATCTAAGAAATATTTAATTTACAAATAACAACTAATCTATTAATTATCTTTAATCGAAAAGTTACTGATGAAGTATATTAGAAGTAAGGTGTGAAAACTGTAGCGTTGATTTCACAGGGACCACATTATAGAGCTTGGCCACGATTCATAGTTAACCATACAGTTTTTCAAAGTATGTATTGGATGAGATAAAAATATTAATGTATTTTTTAATTTTTTACTTCTACTGCTGCTCGTTAAAAACGGTCAGTGTAAATACGTTAACTTATTTGATAAGATTTCGAGATTAGGTATTCGCGCTTTTTGGCACGACGTTGTTTATGCACACAAATGTGATGTAATTAATGCATTCGCAGTACCGGAAACGGAAACAAACACACATAGAAGCGCATTCAATTATTATTTTCGCCGAAAGCAGTGTTCGCCAAGTTTAGCTTAGGTTCTCGCACTTACCTACTGAAATAGCGGTTAGGTGGAAATTCAAGTATATTACAAGCTTTCCTCGAAGCGAGTGGTCGGTTAAGCTGGTGATTTCCGGTCGACGATATACCCTTTGGCATTGGTCGACATTTATTAGAAGCTGTGTATGAGAAAACCACGTAAAAGAGACCACGTCGCCGATACGTTGAATATGATTAATGCACTTCAAAAAGATCACATTTCGCCCCATATCTGCTGTCACGTCGCATCTCTATTCATGCTGCTTATTCGCCAAAAGATTGGTTCAATATCTCAAAGTCATTTTTGTTTTTTTTTACATGATAGTCTTAATCTCGCAAGTCCTTTTTCCCCAGTGGCATTCTATTTAATGATCCTTATACGACCGTAAAGAAGTTAGATAATATCACCGACAATATGTTTTTGATAAATTATAATACATATGGTACAAAATATTATATAGGTCAAAAACTGTATATACCTACTCGCTATTTTGATTCTCCCACACTCTCCTTGTCCCTGCCCTCAATTTATCCACTTGACAAAGTTTGATTTAACAAAAACAAGTTTCTAAGCATTGGCGCGACTAGAGGGAGGACTTAGAAAGTCTGGACCTTTTAAAAACTCTGAAAGCTCCCTCGGAATTTTAGTAAAAAATGATATACCTTACTTGGGGGGCTGTGCCTGATTGGTTGCTGACATTTGTTAAGAACCTGAAAGAGTATAGAAGGATTGGAAATTCTATTCTTCTCTCCTTCTAGTAGGAAATTCTAAGCCATAACACTTTGAATAATTGGTGGAATTTCAGTTCGCTTTCAATTTGCTGACTATATTATTATGTGACTGACTAAACGCTGACGCTTTAAAAATAATTTTCAAATTGGCTAAGCGAGTTAAATCAGATCTAACCATATATGACCAAGTATTTGGATCAAGATAACAAGACACTGATGGGCTTTATGCTGGCCTATGGCGATTAATGTAATAAAAAATTGGTCGAGCTAGCACTGGTAAACAAGTACATAAAAAAGACAGCAAAAGTTGGCTCAAAGCAGTGGTTAATTGATTGGAAGCGATTAAATCACAGTGAAATGCAAAGATGGGATTTTGGGACAGTGTAAAAACCCTGTAGGGCGTCCACAGATTTGAAACGCAGCGTTACATCACTTGTATTTAAGACCTTAATAAATGCATTGCTGAAGGAATAATATTGGCATTGCATAAACTGGCATCGTATCTACCAAATTAACAAGGCAAGCGATTACTAGTTTGGCAGTACACGTCTTGTGGATAGCAATAGAAGACAATTTTTAATGTACGGAGAGTTATGAAGTAGAAACAACAACAAGTTATGCTCCAAGAAAATCACGCCAAATGTGTGTGTGTCAATGTTTGCATGTCAATTAAAAGAATGGACTGGGTGATGATAATAATAATTGTTGTTGGTTGTTTGTGGATTTGCCATGGACGACTTTAACAAGTGCCGGTTCGTGTGTGTGTGTGTTTATAATAATAATAATAATAATATGCCAGTGTTTGTGTTCAAGTTGAACTTGGCGGGGCGCACGCACGGTACGTTTAATGGGCGTTCGGTTGAAGGAGGACGCTAAGGAAAAAAAAAGCCATTTCCGACCGGATTTTCGGTGCAAAAAAAAACAACAAAATTTCATACATGTATATATAATATACAATATGTATTTTCGACGTTGATAAATAACAGCCTAGCGCAGAAACGGCAGTAGCGCCGTTTCTGTTGGTGATGGTTTCCCAACGGCCGTTCTTCTCTCTGTGCTTCTTTACCGTTGACCGCAAATAATATTATTTAGTTTTCTTGCCGATAGAATATGGTTTTTGATTAGGGTGCCCAGTAAGCCTAGGGCTGTTGCTGAAGGGTAACATAAGGGTTGTGCACAAGCGGAGAGGCGATTGTAACACAAAAAAGGCGGGGGCGCCGATTCGGCTTCGGCTATTATAATAATGTGTATATCTGCAATAGCGTAATAACAATAATCACAAGATTGGATAGTCGGCAAAAACTCAAAGCACTTTTTACGGCCATGGCCTAGATAATGGAGAAAAAATTACAAAAAAAATCGAGAACAGACTTGCAGTGTAATTTTCCAAAAAAATTGAGAAGGGGTAGGTCCGTACCTATATTAGGCGTTTTGATCCAATAAATTATATTATACAATTCGAGTGGACTTCCTAGAAGAGCGTTACACCATATGCAACACCTCATTTTATGGCCAAATCAAGTTAGCCCACACATTGTTTTATTTCAGTTTGCACGGGAAATCGAATCGACTAATCGTTGTTTGTAAATTTATTGAATGGCAATACATGATAACCGGGTAGGTTTGCTCTGTAATTACTGCCATCGAACCGACTGGGTCGAAAATTGAAAACGAGAAGAGGAGAGACAACGTTACGAGTCGTTCCGTATAATAGTATTATGATAAATAACACACACACACAGACAGCGAAGGCAAAGGCGACGGAGGGACCGGGCAAAAAGTTTTGTGTCGCCTTTGTCTATATTTTAACTTGCACGTTATAATAGGCTGGCTATATATAAATACTGATCCCTATAGCGTGTATTAGTTGCTCTTGTGTTAAGAAGATGAATCGGGTATACGAGAGACGGTTATACACTGATTAGGGGAAGAGCTGTGTGGCTGTGTGTATGTATCTCTATCTCTCTCTCTGTGTGTATGGTAATAAATATCTGTATACGGCAAAAGGGATACGGTCGCGTACGGGTATGGGGAAAATATTGTTGTTTTTTTATCTGATGGTGTTTTTTTTATTTTTTAACTATACGTCTCACAGCTGTAATCCGCAATAGCGACGGGGCAACACACACACAACACAAAAGGCGCGAGATCCTTTTTTAATATTTTTTTTTTGCTGCTTTTATTTATATACACGAGCATCGCAGGCGTCTTGACGTCGCGGCCGTCAGCTGAAAACGCACCCTACACAACGGCTCGGCGATCACTCTGTATACAATGCATTTTTGTGTTGGTGTTTTTTTTTTTTTGTATTGTGTGTACAAAACGGTGAACGTCGAACTAGTGTGCGACACAACGTCCTATTTTAAGTATTCTTATAATATGCCGTGTGATAATACATGATAACAACGATATTGTATTGTTGTATCGGTTTAATAACCGTAATGTGCACGCATAGATCGCGATTCAACCGGAGAGAGATAGCATCACTTAAGATTAATTAAAAATATTTATGCTTTCCTGATCCGGTGGGGCAACTATTAATGGGTTGGATTTCATTTCACAAATGCGCGCGAATAACATATTTTTGAAACACGTTTTCGCCGTTTACAATGTCGAAAGAGAATAATACGTTTTACTTACAATTTGTTTTGTATTCGAACGTCGGTTTTTTCCAAAAGGGGCGCGATAGTCTTTGAAGTTAAAAGAATATAAGTAACAAACATATTATAATAGGCCACCGGTTACTTTTTAATTGTATACACCAACTTCATTATCATGACAGAAACCGGTTAGAGCTCATCAGACATGTTGAGAAATATAGGCAGTGACGCCAGACCTCGGATATTTCCTCGTTTTTAATTTTTTCGTGACTAATATGGCTACACTGCTCATTTATTAAATGTCGTCGTCGCCATTCCCCGCGTTTGTCCAGTGAACAGTTTAGCCAGAACGAACGAAAAAATGACAATTTCCCTACACCTTGATCAGCACTGCCCATTTCTCGATCGTGTTCAAGATGTCGGACGTGATTTTATCTCACCTCATAAGAGCCCGTATAAAAATTGAATAGTTTCTCTTTTGCTTATTCTGTGATAATAGTGTTATGGGCTCAAATGTTTATAATATGTATAAATTATAATGTTTTTTATAGTGTAAGCTGCTGTGTAAGCTGTTGTTTTTGTATATATTTTATTGTTTCAATTGAATTCGTTTTGTTTTTTTACACGTGTGTTAAAAAACAAAACCCATATCGTTTCGTGAGACTAACACAATTTATTTGTTGTGTTCAAAAAAGTTAACATTATAAACAAGATATTCGTTAATAATTTATATTATTTTGACTCGTGCATTTAGGCTTGCAATGCCGACTTTGGATTTATTATCATATTTATTTTGCTAGAAATAAATGCCTGCTTGTTGTTCACGTGTATAATGTATCATTTTTTTGGTTAAGCTATGAACAATGGGTAAATTGTTTAACAGACTATTAGTTTAAAAAAACTAGGTATTACTAAAAACTGTTGTAGGTAAAACTAAAAACCTAATTAAACCAATGAATACAATTTTATAATAATATGTATAAATATGATATTATATTATGTTCAAGGACATTTTTTATAATTACAAGTGTAATTACATTTGAATGGAAGTTTAATTGCTTGAAATTGTTTACATTTGAAAAGTGTTAAAACTATTGATTCATGATAAATTTTTTAACATAAATAATTCGTGTAACACATTATAGATAACGGTATTACTCTAAACAAGCAATGTCAATATGTAATATTTTTTAAATTGAATAAAGATGAATTCAGGACCAGCATTCTGTAGATAAAAAGTATAAAATTATAACACAAAAAAATATTTACTATACAACAATAATTATAGTAATAATTACTCACATCTGACATATTTTACATTATGGTGCATCCTAAAAAATAATATTGGATCAATATAATTTTAATTATTTTAGGTACTTGTTTATTTTTTCTATCTAACTGATTCTTTTAATATTTAATATTAACAATTTTTGATTTTTTTTCAATATTTTTTGAAAATACATGATTAGATTTTATAAAAGTAGAATAGCTTTAGTATGCTTACGATTACAATTACCTGCAATTAAAACAATTTTTTTTTAGATACCTACATTGTTTGATCAGAATTGATTAATGTACAATAATTTTAGTATACTCAGAACAAGTACAAGGTACGAAATATTTTTTTTTTAAACATTTTTAATAATAAATGACTACATTTAAAAAGTACATTAATTATAGTACAATAGTTTTTGCATACTCACAATCCCCAAAAACTGAAATCAAAACAATTGTTTTTTTTTGTAATATTAAATTATTAAATTTAATAAATGTACAATAATTTTAGTATACTCACAACCACCACAATCACCTGCAATTAAAACGATTTTTTTTTAGATACATTTTTTGATTATAATTGATTAAATTTGATTAAAGTTCAATAATTTTAGTATACTCACAACAATCACAAGGAAAATCTAAAAAAATTTTTTTTTTTGTAACAATTGGAACGGTAACGTATAATATATTGTAAATAATGCAAAATTCGCTAAAATTATTATTGACTCATTTAAGTACGATCGAAAATACATACCTCCATCGCCTCGTGCTGGAATATAATAAATGTACAACATTCAATAAATTAAATATCAGACACAATACTGTAAATCATTATTTCTTTATACACGTAACATATGTATACATACCGACAGATTTTATTTTTAAAAAACAATATTTAATTAATTATAAATAAACATTGTAAAAATGCAAAATTCACCTAAATCACTATTTACTTATCTACTTAAGCGTATACATACCGACAGATTGCATGTTTTCTAGAAAATAATAACGTAAAAAATGTTTAACTAATTAAATTTTGAATACAGTAACGAATAATCATACAATATTGTAAATGTATTATGTAAATGATTATTTTTTTGTAAGCATAAACATACCGAAGGGCGCTGTTGCGGTTACTGGAAAAAAAATAAAGTTAAACAAATATACAATTAAACCAAATAAACAACATTTAATGCAGTAATAATAATTGGTATGATAATGAAAACTATTAGTCAAAATATAAGAGTTTATGTAGAATAATTGCTGTCTAAACCTGCTCCTGTTATTTACTTATCTACGGAAACCTATACATACCACCGGGATATCCTGGTGGAGGTTCTAGAAAAAAAAAATTTATAACAAGGGATTACATGTTGGACACAGTAACTTAATAAATTATACATTGTAAAAATTGAAAAATTCTCCAAATACCAATCTACTTAAACGTATACATACCGACAATTGATTGCATTTCTAAAAAATAATAAAGTAATAATGTTTAATTAATTAAATAATTATTCATCACCGTATCCAATACGGTGACGAAGAATCATGTAATATTGTAAAAAAAAATGCAAAATTTACCTAAATTATTATTTAGGTACTTATTTAAGTAAACGAACATACGTAAAGTTGTTATAGTAGTGAGTAAGTTAAAAAAATTATAGAAATAAAACTATTATTAAAAAAAACATATTATGTAAATGGTTTTTTATTATTTTGTAAACGTAAACATACCGAAGTGTACTGGTGGGGTTGCTGAAAAAAAATTGAGTTAAAATAATCCAAGAGGCCAACACAATAAAATTAATGTACAATTAAACCAACTAAACAACATTGGGTACATAATTGGTATGATAATGAAAACTATTACAGTGAAAATACCGAAATCTACTAGCGCCTAATAGTGATTATTAAAAATGAGTATATAATCCTACATACTGTTTTGGTCTTGAATAGTACCTGCGTATGAAAAAACATTATAATAGTCAAGTAAAATAACACAGGTAGATTATTAAAACTTATTTCAAATATCAGATAACAACACTCACCGTTCGGTCTCCCGTTTATGACTGAAATAGAAAAAAAAAGAACCGTAATTTTACCATAAAAAATTGTAATTTTTTACTTTATTTCAATATACCCTAGAATAGGTTATAACAAGTAAACAGATACAACTATAAAAAATAGTAAAAATATAAGAATAATAACAACAACGATAATAATAAAAATAAAATCCCGCATTAATAATAGAAGCTTAACATTACTAATTTAAAGTAATAATGATTAGTTGTTGACAGTTATAGTCATTAGACACATCGTTATGTCTGAGTTTAGAAATAATCATTATAAGCTCAAAAATGTCAAATATGCAAATATATAGTGTAAGTATAAGTGACATTTGGGTGTAATTCTGATTTCATTAAAAAAAGAAAAAAAACGTACAGCCTTAAACATCCGAGCTTTAGTTATGAATATATTTTATAATGCGATTTTTATTACATTATTTACAATTATATATTATATTTTGTAAAAATATATAAATAATAATAATAATGTATTACCTGTAGTTATTGCCAAAACAAAAAATGCCAAAACTATCATACTGATAGAACTCCCTTTGAGCGCCATCTTTAAATTCGCTGTAGCTAATAGGACAAAAAAAAAATATAATTTTATAACAAAGCCGTCGAGTGAGTATGACTTTAAACGGCGAAACCGTCTACTAAAATATTATATTTATTTTGTGAAAAACCACAACATTTTTTTTTTATTATTATTATTTGTACTAACCGAGCTTTTAGCCGAAAACAAAACGTGTCGCAAATTGTTGTAAACACAAACTGTTTACTTAATTGAGCACAGGGTGATTCGTTTTGGGCAAGACACTCATACCCATTGACAACTGTTGACGATGTGTACTATTATTTGTCTTTGATTAGCTGCGACGGTTGCCGGTGATTTATGTGTGTGTTATTATTTATTGCTATTGTTGTAGTCTGTTTATGATTTGCAATATTGTAATTTACAAGTGGTACTACTTTTTACACTCAAGCCATATGTAGCCGCAGTTGTCGCTCATAAAGTAATAATATTTGCAAAATAGAATAAAAAAAAAATCAAATCTACTCGTTTTCGCACCTTGCATTTACTGTACTTGCACCTTTACCTTTGCTGTGCAGAACTAACTAAGCGACATTAAATTGTAATTTCTATAATTCCATAACTTCCAAATGTACAATTTGTCACTGATTATACAGTAGTCAGGGTATTGGTTATGTAATATATAGGTACATTCTGTTCATAGGTATATTGTTTCAAATATTGGTATGCACTAGATGTGCAATATTTTAGTAAATTGAAAAACACACAGTGTTGTGAATTGATTACACTATTATTTTTATATTTTTTCGGTTGTGTTTGATTGCACTTTGAATACAAGCACAATCCGAATCAGCACAGTCTGAACAAGTACATTCCCCAGACTTGTATAGTTTGTACCTGTAGTGTATACCGGGTGATTGGTTAACTATGGACCACTCAATATCTTAGAAGATATTAGACTTTTTTAATTATTTTTTTTTTGTACTATTATAGTTATTAGGTGGGACAAATTTAATGTATTTTTCAAAATTTTAACACCATCCCTTATGCGTTAAAACCATATCAACTTTAGATTTTTAAATGGTAACCCCCAATTTTTTTTTGATGATCGTGTTTATTTTTTTTAAATTTAATTTTAGGCGTAAAAACTAGCTAAATCAGACAAGTACTTTTAAAGTTATAGCTTAGTACTACAATATTATAATATTAGCTTATATGAGATGCTTTTATAAGTTTTACAGCTAAAGAAAAAAATCGTTTATCGCCGGATCTCACGTTTCACAAAATAAGATTGATTAACGATACGGTTGTAGATTAAAGTTAACGGTCGTCGGTCACAATGAAAACGAACTAATAATAAATCTATAACAATATTATATGGGTAATGTCTTCTTATCTGTTTTTTCTGTAGTGTTCCTAGCGGTGCGGTGTACCTGTACGTATTGAATATTAGGCATTAGCTGCTGTTAACAAACAATATTATGAGCCCTAGTAAATAGTTTTTTTTTCAATTTCAACCATAGGTTACCGTGGTCTAATCACGGTCTTATATAGAGTATATACCGTGGTTCTACCAAAACGATTCGTTACTAGTGTAGATTAATATCAACACAGAACAAATTATTATAAAAATACGACTACTTGAAAACTAATAAAAAAGTTCGTTAAATTTTTCAATTATTATGGTTATTTAGCGTCTTGGTTTTTACTTTAAATATTTAGCGTCTTGGTCTTAATAAGTGTTACTTGTACTGGTGTCTTAACTAGTCAAATTATTAATTCTGTTAGTGAAAATATTTTTAAAAAAACTTTAATAAATAACATTCAATTTTTTGTTTTTTTAGTATAATATTGTATTACATACAGTTAATAGATAATATGTACAGAATATATACAGAAATAAACAAAAACTAAACTTAATATGTACAGAAACTATTTTAGCATTTGTCTGAACTGGTTATGATAGGTACTTAAGATGTCAAACAACATCTTTATAAGGCATCTAGTGTGTTTCTTAAAATGTTTAGATAACAAAGGATTCCATAAGAAATACGTTCATCCAATACTTGTGCACTAAAATAAATTTTCATTTTTATAATTTAAAGTTGTAACGCGTCAATTTTAACTATTTCTAGTTCAGTATTTTTAATTATTAAAAGCTGTATTTATTTATTAACTCTTTATTATATTACACTACTATACTATACTAGTATATTATACTGTATATATTTCATAGTATTGACTATTCTTACTATTTTTAATGTGTTCATAATATGAACAGTAAAAGTATGTTTTTTATTTAATAAATGATTGTTTTTTTCGTTGTACGAGGTATAAACAAAAATTTAGAGTGACAATGAAAAAGTACAATTTTTTTTGTTTTTGTATGGCTTTTTTAACAGTCATAAGCTTAAAATTCAATAATAATATTACTAACAAACATTTAAATACTATATTATGTTATGTTTATTATGATAATAGTAAAATAAAAAAACAAGTAACAAGATAAATAATACGCTTATAAGATACGAATAAACATTTTTATTTGCTAAATCATATTGAAAAACTAAGACTAAATAAAATTAACATATCTATAATTAACTTGTAAATAATAGAGGTACAACATATTGCTGTATATAGTGATGTATTTATAGGAAGTTACCTTGGACGGTAAAGTTTGTTTGATAATTTCCCACTAGAAGAAATCCATCTCCATTTACATATTTAAGTTAAAAAATATTTTAAGTATATTCATTCAATTTACTTTTTTACACTTAATCCAATAGTTAACATTTTTTTTTTCTATTTTGTGTTTTATAATTTTATTTACTTTATTACTTATAAAAACTTAATCGTAAACCACTAGAAAGTTGTCAATAAATTCTGTAATAGCTAATGCCAAAACTATGCCATCATGAAAATAATTTCAAGATTTGGATTAAGACAATAACATATTTTAGAAATATTAACATTCTCAGCAGCATTTTAGATTAAATTAATATTAAATAAAGAATTCATCATTAATAATTAATAAATAATGTATAATAATTATAGATATGTTAAGTATATGTGTGTTTAAAAACTTTATGTCACTTTTAAAATGATAAAGTACTTTTAAATTATTTTATTGAATTACATTTTTAGCTTGATAACTAAATATATATAGTTGTCTAATATTTGATTTGAACTTGTGAATCCATCTTATTCTTCTTACTGACTTAATGGAAAACCGTTATCTGCAATAGTGTGCCACAGTAACTAAAAAATAATAATAATAAAAATAAATTGTTAGAGATGAATTCATAGAAATTAACTAAATTATTGCAAACTGATGATCTTATATATTTTACCTTAAAATAAAACACCTATAAATTTACTGAAAATTGAATACCACAACATTCGACAATGTATTGATGGAATTAGATTAGACTGATTGACTACAATAATATAATACACCAAATTTGGCGTTGGTAGTAGTGTAGTTGTAGACAATAACAAATATCAATTTAAGTTGAGATAGTCCATATTAATATTGAACATACTGAAACATATAATTAAAAAAAATAAATAAGTTCCTTAGATACTTAAATAATTATATGGTTAAGCAACAAATATCAGTATACACATATATTTTTTATAATTATACAAGTATGATAATTTTTAAGTTAAACGTTAATTTTTAAGTAACGCATTTTAATTAAACATATTAAGTATGATCAACATAAGTAATCCAAAAAAACTTATTATGTAAAAACATTTTATATGTTCATGAATAATAAAAAACGATTAATTATATTTTTCTAATAAAAAAATGTACTTATACAATACACCTATATTAATAAATACATTATCTTACCTATTATTGATTCAGTAAATGATGATTGAAGATTCAATTTTTCCTAAAAAGTTTTATATTTTTTCTTTGAATTCAGATACCAATATGTTAAAACACAAAACTACACATTTATAAGTTTCTCAGAACAAAGACATAATACTGTAAAAATAAAAGTTTTAATTAAAATATCATCAAGCATAATTCAAATTACTCTATTTATTTTAAATAACATATTATTATTATAAGTACCTTTAATTTTGATATTTGATGTGCATACATTTTATAAGTAAGGTTATAGGTTTTATAGACTTGTCACTTGAGCAAAACTCCATCTTGGTATTCACATTGATTATGGATATTTAATATCAATGTTATTATTTAAAACACAATAAATGTTGACAAGTTCATAGATCTAGTAAGTTATGATACTATATTATTATAATATACTATGAAATTAAGACGTACAAATCGCATGAATAAACAAAATGTGTCAAATTAACCAAAACATATAATTGCTAAATGCTGGAAAAATATACACAAGGTATAACAAATTAAACATACCTACTATTTTATAAAATAAATATAAAAGTGTGTAGTGGTGGTATATTTGTCAGTCGATATAGCGGTTATCATTATTATTTACTATCGGTGAATTATTTACCTAAAGTAAATAGTGTTTGGTACGGTTATGATTTTTAAACGCTACTATAGCTATTGTCAAAGTTAATTGTCAATAAATAATAACAGAGAGCAGTCAAGTGTCACCTTAATATGTTAGCGTCTCCAAGATATTTAATTTATTTTTTACACTCCCTTTAATTTTAAAACTGTGTAGCTCGTTAACTACTCAATCGATTTACCTAGTTTTTACGCCTAAAATTAAATTTAAAAAAAATAAACACGATCATCAAAAAAAAATTGGGGGTTACCATTTAAAAATCTAAAGTTGATATGGTTTTAACGCATAAGGGATGGTGTTAAAATTTTGAAAAATACATTAAATTTGTCCCACCTAATAACTATAATAGTACAAAAAAAAAAAAATTAAAAAAGTCTAATATCTTCTAAGATATTGAGTGGTCCATAGTTAACCAATCACCCGGTAAATCAAGCTCATTTCTAAATTAGTATAGCTGTTCAATATTGGTGTATTTAATTTAATTTAAGTTATTTTATCCCATTATAACGGTTCGAAGCTAATCTGTGAACACTGGACCCTACTTTGGTAATTTCTTGCTGTACTGGTTATGTTAATTGAAATAATTTTACTATTTTCACTATTGTGTTCGTTTCAAACCTTTGGAAAATATTATATGTTTTTTATTATTGTCACTACTTTTCTAAGTAACCGTGTATTTACTTCATAACACGGAAACGTATTGAAAACACGTTTAAAGTTGAGTTATTTATTGAAAGCATATTTTGATGTGATGATTGTATGCTTGTTTAAACAGTTACCCGTTAGTCAAACACCAATGCACTAAATAGAAAATGTATCCAAAACAAAAACAACAACTCTAAAATCGACCTAGTTACATTATTTTTTTTTGTTAAGACTTTAAAATTAAAATTGTTTTAAATATTGTTGTATTTTGGGGCCAATTATTTTTAGCTGATGCTATTAGTTTTACAATAATGTTAACTTGTTTTGTGTCTGTGTTCACTGTAACTTTTTTAGTAATATACCAATTATTTTTAGTAGCAACTCTATAAATCATGAATTTTATCTGGTTGGCACTTTGGAGGGTAGTAAAAGTTGAAAAAGTTCACTTCTTCACCCTTGAAATTTGAAAAAATAAACTTTTAATATTTCAACTTTTACTGGCTATAATTTTGAAAAATTTTAGGTTTTAATTTTTTTTGTTAACACTACAACTCACTTTAATATTTTCTTACTGTGCCGGCTTATAAAATGAGGTGTTTCTATGCAAAACGCGTTATCCCCAAAAACCACTTTTTTCAGAAATAGAGATTTTTTTTATAAAAAGAACTAAATAAGTTATAGCATGTGTTGAATATTTATATGATTCGGGATGATAGTGAGAAAAAAAAATGTTTGCGAAGTAAAAATAAAAATATTTTTCCACCACTTTTTAAATGATTTTAAAATAGGATTTGGCGCAAAACGTATTATTTCCAGACATAGGAAGTTTTGAAAAAAAAATTGTAATAGATCGTTTTGCAAAAAAGAATTACTTTTTTGTCAAAACGAGTGATTTCCATAGTTTTATTATACTATTTTAAAAACATAACTGTACAACTAATGTATTTTATTTGTCCAATACAATTACTCAAGTACTAAGAAATTATAGTTATTAGTTTTATAATGTGTATTGCATGTAAAATCTTTATTTATTAATTATTTAAAATTAATTTTGTGTTCAGTATTACTAATTTATAACAAACAACATTACCTATTTACCACAACGAGTAAAATATTACTTTTTGTTTACTATACTTTTAATAATAAATAACAAATATGACATAGAACATTCATACTTCTTCTTAATGAGATCACACTAACTTATTATTATTAAATGTATTTTAGTAGATTATAGGTAGTTAATATATACGGTATTTACTGAATCCTATATTGATTCTATTATTGCTTTTGCTCTTTTAGAGCGAAGCATTTTATTATTATATTGGTTGATAATGCTCCAATTTGTAATAATTACATACAAAATATAATATGTAATATTTGGGTTTTTAAGTGGTTATCACCGTTATTCTATCACCGGATTCAGTGTAAACATGCTGTATCATGAACTTTGGCGGTTAATAACAATCGTATGGGTGTAAACACTGATGAGATGTACATTTTTAATTATTTGTTTATATATTCTTTTATCAACTGTAACAAATGTGCTACGTATTTAATACGTCTTAATGTTTTATAAAAACGAATCAAGTCACACGTTTTGAAAAATAGTTCAAGTGTCTCCTATGCGTTAGCATGGGAAATGACACGTTTTGACGGAAAATGGTTATTGAACGTTTTTGGAGAAAAAAAAACACAATTGGGAAATCGTACGTTTTGAAAAGAAAAAAAAGAAAATTTCAAATGCACTTTTAAGCTAGGAAATAATACGTTTAGCCAAAAAACAACGATCTCAATCGATTTGTCGCCATTTTTACTGTAAGAATCGTATTGCAAAATTGCACGTTGTTGTTTTTCTATCATTAAATAAAACGTTATATTTTGTCAAGACACGGTAAACAATGTTTTTGTTCCCCACCGTAATTAACAATTCGATTTGTAAGCTATTGTTATTTCGTTTAAAACCATAGAAACTGTATTGACATTTTGTAATTAATTTTTTGTTTATACCGAATGACTAAATATCCGACGTAGGTGCGAGCAATTATTATTGTTCAAACAGAACATAAAAAAAAAAAAACAATGTACAATAATTAGGTACGTGTAATAATTTAACGAGGCCAACGTCTGTTTGAAAATCATAACCAATACCGCGTGGAACTAAGTCTCTGGGGAGATTCGAACCCCAACCCACAACCCCCCCCCCCAGTATATGTTTTTCGAAATTCCTAGTTCCCACATAGTAGTGACAGACGTTTTATTCTCGAGGTTGTTCTACTCGTTGTTGTTCATATATTTTATTTGTCCACGCCGCGGTGGTGTCGACGGTGGAATACCCGAAATACCCAAATGACAATAACGATATTAAAAAAAAAAAATCAATAAAAAAAATCAAATAAGTTCACAGAGCTCTGCTGCTCCCTCGGGACACTTGTCGACTTGATACTTGTTCCTCTTACTGTGTATACTTTTTTTTTTTTGGCGGATATGCGACATACTTGGCTGGTGTGTGTGTGTTAAGTTACGACCGGGGAACACGGGAGATAAAATAAAAATTGGTTCGATATCAGCTATATATATATATTATGTATTACAACAAAAACACATACACACACACAACGGAAGCACATATTATATTCATCCGTTGTTGCTGTCGGTGGTGTGTGTGTGTGTGTCGGTGGTATTTTTCCAATTTTCTAATACATTTAACGCGTACGGCCTCGTGTCAATTTGTTTGCCGGCAAAAAAAAAGAAAAAGAAAAAAAGTTGTGTATATTTTTATACTTTTTTATGCCGTCGGTATGTGAACGCTCTCTTTTTGCTCGGCGAACGCCAATATGCCAATGCGTGGGCTTGCCAGAGTCTTTTAATATTTTTTTTTTTTTGCTATATCCGGCTGTACCCCGTTTCTTCATCAGACACTGTTGCTCGGTTCTACACAAATGATATGCACTTGCCGTTTATATGTACTTACACTTACATTTATATCTACCCTCGTCGGGGATGTAACGTCGGTGCAATAACGGTTTTACATTCATTCGATTGGATTTACATCGAGTTTGTCCGTAATGACTAATACAGTTAGAGTGAGAAGTCTCGAGGGAAAATATACAAAGTTTTACAAAGAAATTGTTATTTGTAGTTTTGGCAAAAGAATTTTCGATATAAGAATATTACTGAAACTGAAATGCATTATTCCAGTAAGTAAATCACTAACGCGTCTCATATTATTATTATAAATCATTTTCAATTAATATCAACATTTTAAACAGGGTAGTTTTTAATTATTTTACTTATAGGGGAGGATGGTGGCACAGTTGGATAAAAATTATACTACCATTTTTCACAATTTTGTTTTATTGCAAATTTCAAATTTGAGAGTTTTAAACTGTAGTGTTAATACACACACATATATTATAATACTATTTCCAATCAAGTGATTTATTAATTTTTAAATAGATACTTATTTTTATTGAAGTTTACCTATTAATTATAATATTTATATATATATATCACATATTATTGGATACATTTGAATCTAAAGGGGACATATTGGGGCATATGTCTTTTTATATATTAAAATATGTACAAAACAGAACATTTTGGATCAGTGCCAGTAATGGAAATTGTTGAAAAACTTTTTTTTTTAACGCTATCATTTTAATACTTATACAAATGTATTTTATTTGTTTATAACAAACAATTTATTAATTTTATTATTTCTATTTTGTGAATTACTTGATTGTAGCCAACATCCCACATCTCTAATCTCTTATCATCTCTTATCTATTGCCTCATAACGCTATAGTATTTGACTGTTACTCTCCTACTCTCTATCTCTTATCTCTTATCAGATAACAGCGTGGCAGCGTTAATGTAACACTTTTTTCAGTTATGTGCCAGAGCAAAGACATGAAAATGTCAAAAGTGATTGAAATAAATAAAACAAATATATATACATACAATAAATAAAAGATATTTGCATATTCACTGACACGTTTTGCAATTGACATGATTGTGCGTGCATAGAAATTGTTTTTATAAATATTTGTTTCTTAAAAAATATTTTCGATTATGCTTTTTGTAATTTTTCAGATTTCAGAAATGTTTATCGAAGTTCACACGAACAATGATTAAAGTTTAAAGTATAGCATGTTGTAAAAATAATCTTTCTTTATTCAGTTTGTGTCGTACTGCCACGCAAAGACTGCAAATCTAGTTAAATATATTTGGGCGAACTTGTCACTTGAGTTTTAATAAAATACTACCAACTACCGAAAAAATTTACTGACTATGTTTTTACAGACAATGTGTACAATTACTAAGAAAATAATTAATTGGTATTAAAAAACTTGAATACTTTGAATTTTTTATAATCCCAATAATGACACACATTTAGTCAATAATCAGTATTTTTTTCTTATAAAGACGATTAAGTTAATTATAAAGATATTACTTGGATTGTATTGGTACTTCTTGATGCTAAAACGGGTTAAGCTGGTTAGTTAATACTATGCAGTATGCGTTGTAAATTTAACAGATGCTATATTTTAGATCTTGATAAAGTCTACACCTATCACACTACACTTGAATCGCTTGGCCTTGATTAATAAAACATGGCCGGCGCTCGAGTTATGCAATATTACTGCATTCGTGTGTACATGTACGACATGACATATTTAACATTCATTTTTATATTCTTTACAATTTAAATTTTGTTCTTTACTCAGTTTTGAGCCGCGTGGTCTCGTTTTTGAATTATATAAATAATACTTTTGTACATTATATGCAACTATGGAGCTGTACTATTAATGTTAATCATCTGACGGTTGTCGCGCCATTGTAGTACATATATTTGTGTCCGTTAAATTTTATTTCGGTTTCAGTTTTCGGTAAAAAGCACAAAATATATATAAAATGTTATAAACTGAGACTGAAATAAAATAATTACAGCGATACACACGGGCAACATTGCATTTGAATAATGGCCGTAGTTTTTCTTCAACCGCCCTCGTGTTGACTTCCTGCGCGATAACTTTGCGGCAAGTAAGTACAAGTAAGTAAGTATAAGTACAAAATAATTGTACAACAGAGCGGCGTGTACACATTGTAAGAATATTAAATAATCATAATGTTTTGTTTGTAACTCGTTATTATAATAACAATACTATTGTTTAAATATAATATATATATATAATATATATATATATAATAAATAAAGTGGAAACCAAAAAAAAAACCGAAAACAACAACGTTACTTAAAACAGTTACTATATATACACTGACAGTTTAAATATTTATTCGTTTAAACAATATCAAAATAATATCATTGTGTTTACATCCGTAAAACACAATATACCACGACGCACAAGACTTCTACGTTAAAAGTCACCCCCCCCCCCCCCGAGGCGCTCTTGTTTTATTTTGATTAAGCCACATTATAATAACAACAAATACACGCATACACATACAATTAGTATGTTTCGTTAAGTCAGAAACCGCTCCGCATAATGTTATATAATAAAATATCGCTTATCCCCGTTTCTTTTAAGACTCTCTTCTTAAGACGGTGTTTACCAGCGCGTTACCGACGTGCCCTGTACACACGGCATTGTGTTTACACCGGTTGTTTTTTATCTGGTCGTCGTCGGCAAACCATATTATTTTCTATACAGGGTGATCCGACTAACGTGAGAGACGCTCATTTTCTCGGAAACGGTTGTCGGATCACCCTGTATATACACACACCCAAGTGTATAATCGCCCGAGCGAGACAGGAACACACGTTTCCTTCCCAAGGCGCGCGGCTTAAGGTTTCGGTCGCGTGTGTTCTTAGTGTGGGGGGGGGGGTTTTTTTTACCTTACCCGCCCCCTCTGTCCTTGGCCGTTCTTGTGTGGCGGTGCCTTTCTTCTTCGGTCAAAAATGCTCTTTTGGCTGTCTGGGTGGATTTTCTGGCGGTCGGCCATGTGTGTACCTTTAACGACACGGTAAAACAATAGTTATTTCAGTGACTGGGTGTGGGGGGGGGGGGGTGGAGATGCGGTAAACAAACACAATATGTACGTCGTACACAATATAATGGAACACGATGGACAATGTGATGGAGAGAGAGAGAGAGAGGAGACAAATAATAATGTATTATTATATTATTATGAATGGAGACGAACGAGGTCTCCAAAAGCGAGCAAAAGTATTATAACGCCGTTAACGCCAACAATATATAGTATTATACACATAGCGTTTGCTATCTCTTCGCCTCCCCTATCTGTGCCCGTCTCTCTGTCCGACCCTGTGGCCACTCCCAGGTTATTATACGATAATCGGCTCGCGGAGACGACAAAATAATATTATTATTCTATTATTCCGATTTATCGCGGTGTATAATAATCATAATAATAGCAACAACAGTGTAGTGTGTACCTACCTAAGTACGAACAGAGACGTGTGCACACAAAAACCGCTAATTAGTTTTTAATTACATTATGATAGTATATACACACCGCTCGTCCATAGCCTTGCATTATATCATCATCATCATCATCATTATCAGCAACCAAAGCGTTACATAATATTACGCTATCACACGGACGGGTCTAAATCTCAAATCCCAATTGAGGCATTTTTTGATTAAGGGGGCGAAAAAAATTACTCACATTTTTAAGTTGACGAGTGACAAGTTACAAATCAAAATCAACAGGTATCCGAAAAAGTAACTTCATTATATTGTTGTTGATTACAATAGAAATACAATCCCAAGTACACCATTGCCGTTACAGTCAACTCAAGTATACAGGGTGACGGTATTATCGCGAACCGCTCAAAGTCATCACGATAAAATGATCACCTTGTAGGGTAGATGGGCATAGTATGAACACAGTACAAAATGCATATTACATAGTTTATGTATTTTATTGGTTAACAACTGGTATTTACGATTAAGCATTGAACATTTTTTTTTTTTTTTTACATAATCTTTTACAGTTAAAATATTTAATGCATTTAACAAAACCTGCAGTCGGACGTGAAATGAAAATGTGAGGTCTCTGTTTCAGTGGTTTGATTTTTTATTAAAATATAGTTCTATGAATTTGGGTTCCGAGCACATTGAAATTTCTGGGTAACATTACATGGGAATATTTATTTGAAGTGCTAAACTTGTTCAAAAGTCAATAAATTTTGGTCCATTGTGCATAATATTATACCCATAGAGCAAAACAATTTGATTGTATTCAAAATATTGTTAAACCTAATTATTGCAATAGTTTTTTAACACTTCATAAAAATTTTGGGTACAATTTTGAAGAAAAAAAATATCAATGTTTCAAAAATCATTCATTCAATTTAAATAAGTGTTAGATGACAATGCAGAAGGGTAGTTACTATGTACATGCTGGTGATATAGTGGCACATGGAGACTCTCAATGTTCGGTTCCAAACTTTTGCCTAGTGAAACTAAAAAGAAACAGCTATACGTTATAACAGCTACTTATGTCGCATATGTCTGTGAATTTCTGAGAAACAGGGTCGACGGTCAGCATAGTGATGGGCCGAAGTTACAAACCTTTGGACGTATGGTTCTGGGAAATTTATTTACAAAGTCATACTTACATCGGACTGATAGAGTAAGTACCTAATCTCGAAATGTGAGGTCAAGAGACGAGAATTGGTCAATCAAGTAGTTGATTCACGTTAGATGGTGATAACGTTATAGATGTTTGACAAAATTTTGTGTAGCCACACTGTGTTAGAAGAAGGATAATTTTTTCATTTTTTGGTCACACTGACCTGAGATTCTGTGGTTCCATTGTATTAGAAATTATTATCTCTTTTTCTTTTGCTCAAACACAAATGTGATGTACAATGTGTACTAAATTGGTTTGTGATATATTGTGTGTTTACTTTATGTACTCAATTGTTTAATGGTTAATTTGTAATACAATAACTACAATGAACAAATCGAGTTGGGCCGTGGGGACGGAGAGGTCACAGGTCTACAGGAATTATTATAACTGAATGTGACAAAATAAATTTTGAATAAACGTTTCGATGCAAATTTATGGATTGTAGGTTCCAACTAGTATAGTCTTTATTTTTAATATAAGGTTATAATTAGGGTTGACGTTTACGATTAGGGTTGATTGTCTGTCTGTAAGAATATACTTAAAATGTATTAATTTTATCTGCCTAGTAAATGTTTGAATTTTTTTTATATGAACCTATAAACATATGTACTTTAACGAAATATGATAATAATTATTTCAATGATTAACCTGATTACAAAATGCAGGATTATAAAAACGCGTCCCAAAACATACCTACTTTGATCGAATTTCAAGTTAAGTATCGGGAAAAACTAAAAAAACAGTGTATTTTTATTAAACGTTTTGAATAATTCATGTTTTGATTAAATGGTTTTTTGAATAAATAGTATTTTTGAATTGAATTATTCAGTTCAATTCGTTGATAAATTATTCAAAATTTCAATGATCGCAAACTACTAGTTATTAGCATTCAATGTAAATTATGTTAGCTAACAATTATTTCAATATTTTACTCTTTGGAGTTGATGCAAAAATGAAACCAAATTCACAATATTTGTGCACTTGTCTCCAGTCAAAGTAACCGCAAGGATGCAGTACACAGAGTCCAAATGAATATATGTCTGTTTGTCTGACTTTTGTGCATTAGTACACCATTCATCCGATGGCCATGAAACTTTGGGAAGTTGTTGTTTGTCATGAAAACGTTCAAATGTAATGTTCGATTAAAATCAATCGTTTTCAAATTCATATTTTAGACTGGAATAACGTTGCATAATAAATGCTGTATTTTGCATTAATTATCAATGCGTGGCACAAACCACAAGCAAGTTAAACGAGCCAAATCGAAAACTATATTACAATATTTTATTATTATTTAGGTAGGATATAATATCTTAATAACTGTATTTTTTTTATTTAAATGTCTATTTGTCAAAACGGTCGCACGCGGCACTCTATCCGGTAGAGTTAAGTCTCTGCCCGTTGTGTATTACCATTGTATATATATATGCTATCATACAGCGTGCTGCCACCACGTTCGCTGGCTCGCCGTCCCCCAAGGCGCACACGGTCGCGTGCCGGCAAATGGCATAGACGTGGGTTCGGCCCAAAGGTGTTGAGCGGCACAGCCAACGGGCAACGTGCTCGATCGCGAGACATATACTTACTTGCTTCTTACTTGACACCTTACTTACAACAGTATACCGTCGCCGTCCGTCCGTTGTGGGTTTTGGGTAGGCGAAGGCCCAGAAATTGGCTACTCCGCCGGATTATCTAAACCGGAAGCAGAGCAACCTGACCGGACGAGGAAGTCGTGTGAGTACTCGATTTTATTTTTATACCGTCTGGTCATCGTCCCTCCAAGACGGCTATATGTTTTTTTTTTCATAATAGACATCACCTCGACGACGATTGTGTGTCGCGCGCCCGTCGCGGTTTTTAACTTGTAAAAAAAAAACTTTATTATATGGTTTTTTATTTTTTTCACTCTCTTTACTTTTACCATTATTATTACTGTGCTACCCATACCGTTTCCACACTACACCCGCTTGTCCATATTATTGGACGGTTAACGGTGTTATATTGTTGTTGTCGCCAACGCGAATCCCTTAGCTATCCGGTGCGTTTCCGTTGAAAAAATAAAAAGATTCAACAACAGTTCCTAGACAGTCATCGTCGTCGTATAATTTTTTTCTTTTTATATTCTTTTATATTATGTATTTTTTGTTTTTATTGCGTCGAAAAAAATAAGAATAATATCCTACTGCTAAAAACAGTCCATTCGCTTACGCGCTAACCGTTTATAATAATAATATTATTTTTATTATATCACACTAAATCGGTATTTGGGTATCCGCCTGTCCAAGCAGTTAAGTTCTTATATTATATTATTATGAATATCATAATACCGTTTGACGTATGAGAATATCTTGACGACGACGATATTGTTTTTTTATTATTTATGTATTCTTTTTGTGTACAACTCACTGTGTATTATTATCACAGCAGACCGACTTTGTTATTACCGTCGCATAAGTAATGTTATATATGGCCAATCTATGTAGAAGACGAATTATGACCCTTATTTTGGCCGTAACAGTTTCATAAAGCTTTTTTCAACGTTATTATAACTATTATTATACTCATTTTGGTGTATCCCCCCCCCCCCCCAGGGGTTGACATTTGTTAGTTTTGATTATTTTTAATAGATTTTTGTGTAACCATGCGTAAAAGGTGAGAAATAAAATATATTTTCTTAATTGACCGGTTAGGGTTGTCTCGAGAAAACAAAGATATTGTATTGCATGAAAAAAAAAATAGCCCTAGACAATAGTCGTTTAGTCACTGTAACTGATTGTTGTCGGGATGCGGTGCGGATAGAAAAAAATTAAATCCCTTTTTATGGTTTGCCAGAATTTATTATTATTGTCAATTTATAAATAACGGCTAATAGCTAGATACGTATAAATATATTAGTATACACATTAATACATACATATATATGTATATACTGTGAAAAGCTTACAGTCGAACGGGTTAGTTATAAATATTGTGGTTGATAACGTGAGATGACTAATATGTCTGTTTAGCACACTGTTTGGTAATATATTATTATTTGCCAAGTGATTTTTATCCATCAAACCTCAACAGAGTATAACCAAAAAAAAAAAATTACATTTTTTCAATTACTTGTTATGTAATTTGAAAGCTAAATATGTTTCCCCTAAGACTGGGTTTGATCTCCGGGTTTGAATCGGTTAACCGTTAAAATATTATAGTTGATAAACTTATATCTGGATAAAGCCAAACCTATAAGATTTCTGGCGCTATCAAAACACCTTTAATGTACTGTTTTTGTTTTTGCGTCCAGCTGCCATTCAAAATCATTACACGGATCTTCACGAATATTTTTCCGCATTCTGGCCGTATAATCTAGCGGACAAAAGAACAAAATATCATTCTTTAGGTAATTTGTTCAAAGGATGTGTACTGATCCCTGCGAGCGTTTTGAGCAATAATAACTTGCGCGTGTCGCCTTTTAATTTCCGGTATGTTTTTACACTTCACGTTCCCATTTGGGCCGTTAACTATTTGATAATCAGCCAAACGACTCTTTAATTATTTGGTTTTGCCTATTATTTAACTACTATCGTCGCACCTACAACGGATTGTTGCATGAAACATTTGTAAGATCATTTTTACCAAAGTAGGCGTCTGCTGCAATCGCTGCGGTTGAAACAAAAATAAAATAAATTTTTTGCACCCAAATGAAATATTTTTTTTTGCACCCCGACCTGGAGGCCACGTCAAGTGTCAAATTGTTTGCAGACTTGGCCGACAGTTTTGTTTCCAACACGGTTTGTACGCCACCACCCTTACTGATGAGGAATGTTTACCGGAGCACAACAACAATGTGACTTACTGATTTCAACGTGCTGGCGAAGAATCCTCCTTTGAATTCCAATATAGACATGCCTGTCCGAACGGGCAGTGATTAAACCGTTTTCATTTCGGTTTTTTCAATCGTTTCGTTTAATATAATAATATTATACCGTTTGCGATAGACCGTGCATTTCGATTAGACTGATAGCAAAAAATAATATCGTTTCGATTTTGGCGGCTTTTGGTAGACATTTTTTTATCAACCACCGACGCTTATGCTTGCACGCACCAATGTGTAGCAATATTGCATACCTCCAGTGCCGTACACGGTTGACTATAATATTATTAATCAAACGTCGCCCAGTAATTTATATACGTTTTATTCAACTACCGGATAGGTTAAATTTGGAAAATGTTCTTGCAAAATATTTTAATAATGTCTTTCTAGGTACACATTTACTTAGTTAATAATAACCGTGTTAGAATACCGTCGCGTCGTGGTATGCTATGCAAATCTATCATGGTGTAAAATTACATTAATATGTCATCCTCGTCTTCCTGGTAAATGTTTAGCTTGACTCCGGTACAAGTGTCAATTTACAATACGTTAACATAATATTATGTAATTTAATTTTGAATTTTGCACCGATTTGTTGCATATTATATAAATGGCATATCTTAAGACGGTGTACTCTGGGGGTAGAGTCGGCGGTCTCACCTGTTGTGGCTCGGTAAACGAGTTTTGATAAAAACAATAACAATAATAATTATGCACAAATGTACAATGTTATTTGTGCAAACGGTTAGAAAATTTCAATAGACTTCTTTACCGCGTTTGACGGTTCCTTTTTCGCCGTCCAATGTAAGCGATTCAACGATAATAACATGTAATTACTTTTTAATTGGTTACACCCGGTAGTAATAATAATTGCAAAGCGTGATTTTGTTATAATATGGTATGTAGACAGTTGCGTGTTCGACAAGTAACTCGGTTTTCGCACTAAACTTACTTTTAACGCAAGCACAAGTTCTAGAAATATCGCTGAAAAACACCCACAATCACCTCGGCTGTGTTTGTATGGAAAAAAAAATACTACAATAATATTATTTATCAGACCCCGTGAGACATGTGTACGCAATATATTATATTATACACACAATATGATATAAGTGTATATATGAATTCAATACCGCTCTGCTTTTGTTGTAGAAGTTAAATCGAAAAAAGTCACCACATATTATTATTATTGGCCCAGACATTGGCGCAGATAGGTGGTGGATAATAATGCTTGTGCTATTTTTTTGGTCCAAAAATGTAGTCCTCCATTGACAGTTGTTTGCTTTTAGTCGGGTCAGCGTTATTGGCACGGTTTAAGCTCTATCCAATGACATATATTATTATGTAGGTACATACATACATACATAGCCGGCGGATGAAACCGTTTCCATTATAGTTACATTTCACACACACGCACACGGCCATTGTGCTTTACTCTAAAAAAAAAAAAAAAACACCTATACTTCATGATTACTTTATAAATAATAGACTTCTTCTTAGACTATATACATATTGTACACGTTCAATGGTAATAGACTTAGCTGTTACTTAGCTGATACACGACTTACTTTCAGCTCTCATTCGAGTCTTTACCAAGTCATAAGTGACGAACCGATTAATGAAAATTGATAATTCAAACGACAATTTCATAATTTAATTTTGTACTACCCATTTAAAAAAAAAAATGTGATAGCATATGTGATATTGTCTTATTGCGTATGACGGATGATGTTTAAAGTATTGCAAAATATAGTAAGACATGTACCCGAACGTGTATAGGGGAAAAAAAGTAATTTACAAAATATGAAAATTAATGTCTTACCCTATGGATGGATCACCCTGTAAGTACTAGTAGAGTATAGGTATTTTTATTATTTTACGGTATTATAGAGTAATCATTTTACGAAGACAAGACATACTAATGCGAACCCTCTTAACCTTTTACTTGTTTATTAAATTTATTAATACATTACAAGCACCTATTGAACCGATACCTAATAGAATAATAATAATATTATAATACAGCATGCATTACACAACGGTACAAAATATGAGTGGGATATTAGATTAGTTAAGGTTATGTTCGACGTTATGTACCTACACCCAAAACTTGATAGCCAAATTAAACTGATACGCGGTTCAAAGGACTGTGTGAATAATTTAATACAATCTGGTACTCGGGCCTATACCTTTTTAAAAATGTATAAATTAAATAATGTAACATGTACCACGGTTGTATTACTTCCAAATCAATATTTAGTACAAGCAATAAAAGCCATAACTGTATCAACCACTTGTTAGATACTTAAACAAATAGTTACTTAGATATATATAAGAGATATTTAGGATAAATTTCTTTTGATATTGTGGTATTCATTTTTTTTTTACCATTACTAAAACGAGATGGACAATTATTTCCTTCCTTCGAGTTTATTTTATACAAAGGTCCTTACAATAATAATAATAATATGTGTACTTAAAGTGTATACATGCGGTTATAGTCTACATCTAAGGAAAGGAAACGGTCCGTATTAAAAAGGTTTCACGTTAAATAATAAACATACAAAGGTAATGTTAATTTTCTAATAGAAATAATAATTGGTTATTATTTTTTTTTTTCACTCGCATTTGAACGCGCTTTAAATGCATCAATTTTGTTTTCCTTAAAAACATTAATTATTTCATTATTGTTATTATTATTCAAATTAGTTCAAACGCGTTCAAGTCGGGCGGAGGTAATAACACTTATAATAAAAAGACCAAACACGCGAAATTGGTGTTTGAACTTTGAATAGAAACAATTGTAATCTTATGAAAAGAAGCCAAAGTTACATTTTGGTCGGCACGTTGCAATAAAATATATTTTACTGAATTT